CTCAGCACACCCTGTGTGTCGGGCGCCACGCAAGGATGAATGGACCACTCCCTCCCCACATGTTTGCTGAGCACCTCCTATAGACTGGGTGCTGCCGTAGGCGCAGGGACAGAGCTGTGAGCAAACTGCACCCGAAACCCTGCCCTCAGGAGCTCACATTCCAGGGGGGACAGACGGTAACCAAGATAAACATATCAGGCATCAGTGGCAGATGGCATTAGGCTCTACAGAGGAAGAAAGCAAGAGAGGGATGTGGGGAAAGGGAGGCTGGGGTGTTATCCAGGGGAGCCAGGAGAGGACTCACAAGGAGATGGCATTTGGGCAAGACCTGAAGGTGATGGGAGGGCCATATGATCTGGGGAAGAGTGTTCCAGACAGAGAGAGCAGCAGGTGCAAAGGCCCTGGGGCAGGAGCAAGCCTGGTGTGTTGGAGGCACAGGGGAGGAAGAGAGTGGTGGGAAGTGAGGGTGGTGATGGGGACCAGACTGTGCAGGGCCTTGAGGACCAGGATGAGGAGTGTGGCTTTTATTCCGAGTGAGGTTGGAACAATGGGAGGGTCCTGAGCCCAAGGTTGTCCCGAGCACAGCACGTCAAGTACATAGTAGTTGCTCAAGCAAGCATGGTCAGGCGTGGCCGTGGCAAAGCCTTCAGCTAGAAGGCTTTATTTTTTGTTCTCTGGCCCCTCTCCAAACCTGAGTCCTCCAAAGAGGCCCAGACATGGTGAGGAGAGGGTGGGGAGGCCTCAGCTGCCCAAGGGGGCGGGAGAGCTCAGTCCAGGCTGGGGGACAGGTCCCCAGCAGGATCCAGGAGGCCGCTCCCACTGACTCCGGGGCAGCATTAATGCACAGTCAGGGAAGACCTCCTCCCCGGAGCCGCTGAGAACGGGGCGCCCACTTCTCTCTGGCTGTGCAAATGGAACTGCATCCAGGGCCGCAGGGCTGAAGGCTGATTAGGGGGCTGAACCAAGGGTCCTCAAGTCCCCGCAGCCTCATGCTGCCTCTGCAGCTGCCACTTCAGCAGCTGGGCAGGAAGGCCTGAGCGTGAGACGTCAGGGGCCGGGGGGCGGGGGGGCGGCGGGAGGGGTACAGAGGGCACACCAGGAGCAGGAGGCCCTCTGATGCTGCAGCAAATTGCCTGCCCTCTCTGGCCTGTTTTCCCATGTGTCCGAGGGACAGCGGGGCTAGAATGACAGGTTCCCAAGGCTCTGGCATCACAACAGTTCACCCTCCTCCTCCACAGAGCCCTTCTCCGCACCCCTATTTCTGTTGAGAGCCCCCCGGAGGCTCACATCTCTACTCTCCCACCCCAGGTGCCCTCAGGAGCCTCCCCCACAGGCCTTCAATCCCACTTACAGACAATAAACTGAGACCCAAGAGGAGAAGGGACTCAGCCACAGCCACACTAGTGGCCTCGCTCACCCTAACTGTCTGCCCTGAAGTCTCCTCCCAAACGGTGAGAGCTTGAGGGCAGGGCAGGGTCTCCAGGCATTCAACACCAGTTTATTAAGCACCTTCTGGATGCCAGATGCTGTACTGGGGCCACAGCCGAGCAGCTGGGAGCCAGGGTCTTCACCCGCAGAGTCACAGCCCACCACAGCTCATGCCAGGAGAGCGAGGCGAGAGCTCCCGCTGCGGCCTCTGTGGGCAGAGAAAGCAGCCCCAACACGGACCCCCCCCCCCAAACATTTACTGAGCACCTACTGCATGCTAGGCCTTCACCAGGTCCCGGGGCTACAGCGACCTGGGAGCTCGGAGGGTGGGCGGGCCCCAGGGCTGTACGGGACAGGACTGGGGAGTGCAGGAGGGGATGCCATTCTGGCCAGCCCCACAGCCAGCCGGGCTCACAAAGCCACCTGGGCTGACTGTCTGTGGAACGAGGGGAGGTGCAGTCTTGTCCCTGGGGAGCACCAGGGCTCTGGGCCGAGGGGCATAGGCTCCGTCCCCCCAGCGTCTCCCTGGGCCTCCAGTCTCCTGTCTGTCCAGTGCAGCTAACGCACCCTCTGCACTGGCCGACCATTAGGAAATTAAATCAGGTGGCAGAGCGCTGGGCCCTCAGCCAGTGCCCAGCGAGGGCACCAGTCCTGCCCTCGGCCCAGCTCCTCTGGAGAGCCCGCCTGCCTCGGCCCAACCCCACCCCCATCGCTAAGGCTCCTCTGAAGCCTCCCGGCCTCCCTGCCCTGCCCGTGGCCCAGTTTCAGGCCAGCTTCCTTTCATCTTCAGCCTTTCCCTGGCCATCTCCCTATCATGCTGCCAATTCCCCCAGCACAGCCAGTGCAACGGAGCCCACACCTACCACACCTTCCCAGTGGCTGGCCCAGGCCCCACCCTCCTGCCCCCCCACCAGCTGCCTCTCTCCCAGCCTCTCCTCCAGGCCAGCCCGTGGCAGGGCTCCAGGCGCAGGCCCCAGGGGAGGGGCAGGTGTGCCCATGTGTCACCCACAGCAAAGCCCTGGCAGGGGCCCAGCAACAGGCACCAGCTGCACCCGCCAGAGGGTGGGCCCAGCCCAGAGCCAGACCTGGGAGCGGCGGGGCTGAGGCAAGGCGGCAGGTTGGCTCCGAGGGGGCACCAGCAGCCTCCAGCCCAGGGCTACAAGTGCCACAGAGGTTGCCAGGATGACGACGCAGCTGCCTCTGCCCCAGGTGTGTGCCGAGGCCTCCGGGGACCATGCTTGGTGCTGCCAACTGCGGCCCAGGTCACCAGAGCCCTGGCTGGGCCACTTGAAGCTGCCCACGGGTGGGACCACTCCAGTGCTGCACAGCCCCCAGTGCTGCTGCCACCGTTACCACTGGTATTACCATTATCACCACCGTGATTATGATTTCTCAGCCGCAGGGCCACCCACGTTATCTTGTCTTGCTTCGCACACATGAAAGGAGGAAAACTGTGGCCTGAGACAGGAAGCCTGGCAGGGGTGGCCCTCTGGCCTGGGGAGAGCTAGTGGAGGCTTCTGCTCAAACTCCTGACTTGCTGTGTGGCTTTGGGCGAGACCCTGCCCGTCTCTGGGCACTCCTCCTCCCAGCACAGCACAGCTCACTGAACACCCCTCCACTAGGCACACACCTGAGCAACATGGAAGCCCCATGGGGGTCTGACGCGGCAGCTGGGCGGGAGGTCCAGGGACAGACTGACAAACTCAGGCTCTGCCCCCTTTCTCCCCCTTTCCCCAAGAGAAGGGCCATCCCCTTCTCCCCAGGGCTGGGGAGGGGGCACAAGGAGTTCATGTCTGCCAGGTATGCGCCAACACCCAGCATCAGAGAGTGCCCACTGTACGCGCTCAGTGGTGCCCCAGTGGAGAAGGGCCTGCCCTGCTGTCCAGCACATAGGGGACCCCTTCTTGTCCCCAAGGGTGCTCAAACAAGCCCACCCTTTGCACCCTGCTTTCTCCCACTGGTCCTGGCCCCACCTGACGGGAGCCCTTCCAAGGGCCCCTCTTGGAGCTGCCGACACCAGGTTCCCCCGCCAGTGGGAGGGGCCCCCAGAAAGCTGAAGGGCAGGCTCCGCTGAGGAGTCTCTTTGGGTGTCCTGGCACAAGACGGGGTGCTCTTCACAGAACAGACAGAGGCATCCACACAACGACCCTAGGGCTCCAGGGGCACCCACGGCTGGGATCTCCCCTCCCTGACCCTCTGCGGCCACATGGCGGCAGTCCAGGGCAGAGACCCACCATGAGGGGCCGCAAAGGAGCAACCTAGCACAAGGTGAGGCTGGGCCGGGGCGGGGTAGCAGCCAGGGGCAGGTCTGCCTTTGGCACCTCAGGGAGGGGGTGAGGGCTAGGCCGGAGGCTACCGCCTTCTGGGTTCGCATCTTCCAGGAGGCGGCTGCTGATTTCAGCGGCGTGTGGGCGCCTCTGCGCTCCTGGGAAACAGAGCCTGCGAACCCCAGTTCAGGGACGTGGCTACAGGGGGCAGAAGGTCCCCCACCCTTTATTCCAGGGCTCCAGCCTGGCCACAGGGAGCAAAGAAAGGGGAGCCGGTCAGAGGAGCCCAGCGCTCCCGTATGGGTACGCCCCCTAGGAAATGGGGAGCAGGGTGGCCCCAGATCCCAGGGAGTCCAGTCTCTGGGGAGGCAGGAGAACCTCTCAGAACCGAAGACCACCTCCAAAGAAACACTTTCCTGTGACCTCCCATCCAAACACAGGTTTTGAAATATTCACATGACATGTGCACACGCCATCAGACCAGGCAGCACAGACACCCATTCGGGCCTCGACTCCCATCTAAAGCACCCCAAGGAGCTCCCCACCCCAGGTACCACTTCCAGTGAGCCCCTGGTTCCCACCCCCCGCTTCCCCACAGGACGTCCAGAGCAGACGCGAGCACGGAGGGGCGACCCCGGCCCTGAAACCACGGGAGCTTCTCAGCGGAGGGGCCATCCCCGCCGCGATCAAGGCCGACTTCTGACAGCAAAAAGGTGCGGCTAGCGTGTCGACTCGCTCGCTCGCTCGCGGAGAACATCATTTCCAGAATATTTTTACTCCATTAAAGCACAGGAGGTGGAAAAAAGAAACAACTCCAAGGACCTGCAGGTCTCCGGCCTGGGGGCATTTTCGGGGCGGCTTAGTCTGCGCCCCACTCGGCACCCCCACCCTGATTCCGTGGTCTTTGGGAAGGTCACTCGCAGGACCGATGGCGCGGGCCAAAGTGCCTCCCCAGGCTCCCTCCCGAACACCCTCGTGCAAGTCGGCCAAAGGGGGACCGAGGGCGCCTCAAACTTTCCCGAGCTCCCCCCAGGACGCAGGTTAGCAAGGAGCAAAGTTCCCTGGTGGCGGTAGCCAGAGACATGGCAGGGGAAGAAAAGCTCGCAGTCAGCATTTCCTCCGATGGCTCACCAAGGGAGGGAAAAAAAAAAAAAAAAAAAAACGAAAACGAGAGGAAAAAAAACCCTCCCGCCCCACCTTCCCTGTTGCAGCACCACCTCGCGCTCGCTCCAGGTCGGGGAGGGGGCCTGCGGGGAGCTGGAGTCGAGCCCCCGGGGGCCGTGCGCCGGGCGGCCGCGCACTTACCTCGGTCAGTGCCCCGGGCGCGGCGCGCTCCTCGTCCTCCGAGCTCCGGGCGGCCGTTCCTGGCCCCGGCAGCCGCCGCGCTGGCTGCATCGCCGCCGCCGCCTCAGGGCAGCCCCCGGGGGCGCTCCATGCCAAAGGGCGCGTCGGTCCGGGGCGCCGATCGCCCGGGTCCAGCCACGGGTCGGGGGCGCGCGCCTGGACGGCGCCCCCGGCCTCAGAGCCCTAGCTCTGGCCAGTGAAGCTGGCGTCCGTCCCTCCGTGCGGCTGGGAGCGCGGCCGGCCAACCCCCTCCCCCGCCGGCTGTTATCTGATCCCGGGCAGGGCCAGGCGCGCTCCCTTATGCCCCGCGCTCCGCGCCTCCCCGCTTGCTCCGGCCGCGCCAACCCCTCGCCCCCGACTACCGTTCCCAGGGAGGCGGCGGCAGCGGCGAGGCCCGGGGAAGGCGGGGAGAGAGGAATGGAGGGCGAGGAGGCGGCTGGAGGCTGAGGCTCGGCGCGCACCCAGCTCCGCGCCCCGCTGCCGCCAGAACCCAGCTCCGCAAGGCAACTCCTCTAACTCTCCGCCGAGAGCACGCCCGCCCCGCGCCGCGCCGCCGCTGCCCCCGCCTACCCGGGCCCTGGCCTGGCCCAGAGCCCCCCAGCCCCGGTCCCCCCACCCCACACACACCGCCAGCCACTTGCGCACTGGGGCGCGCGCACGCGCGCACACACACACACACACACACACCCAGAGGCATGTCCTCCGGGGACAGGCGCACACACACAGGTGCATGGTGAGGGCACACACAGGCAAGGGGATCTTACGTACACGCGTGCACACGGCCAGGTACACAAGCTCAGGCGTCCACATCTACTCACGCAAAATGCACATGCATGACGACGGCAGGCGCACAGTGCACACACACGCGTGCACATGCAGGGTGGTGTCTGCACGTGTGCACATGTGCACACAGATCCTGGCTTGTGCAGTCTCATGGAATCTTTTCCCCTTGCACACCAAGCATGCACACTCAGACACTCCTCATTGCCCCCTTTAAGAGCAGCTCTTTCCTCCCCATTTTGTGCTGTTTGGCTTCTCCCATCTCCTGCTTTCTCCTCCCTGCTCCTCCCCCTGCTCTCTCTCTCTGCAGACCTGACCCCCATGTGACCCTCTTCTCTTACCACCCCTGCCTCTGAAGGCTCAGGCTCTCTTCCCAGCCTGTCCCCAAGTGCCCTGCCCTCCCAGCATCCTGGGGCCTATTGTCTGGGCCTCAGATCTCCAGCCTCCGGCAGAGCCCAGGCCTTTCATCCTGGCAGACAGACCTGCCCGGTTGGGCCTTGGCCCAGTGAGACCCCATTTTACCACCAGTCTGACCCCTTGCTCAGCCTTGGGGCCACAGAATCCGTCCGAGGAGGCAGGTCTGTGGCCAGAGCACAAGTCTCAAAGGGCTCCTGGCCCCTGGGCCTCCAGCTTCCCCTTTAATGTGAAATATAATTATGTGTCTGCACAGCAGGGAGATTGGCTGCAGGATTCTAACCAAGGAGGATGGCTCTCCGGCCGCCGCCCAGATTGCTGGTGGCTCAGCCGGGCGGTCTACAGGCCCCCCCCAGCCCTGGGCTCCTGGTCCCAGGCAGCTGGTAGGTGCGGCCAGGGCCTAGGCCCCGCAGAGAACTCACCGACCTCAGACTGCCCAGGGTTTGAATCCCACCAGCTCTACTGACCAGCTGCGGAGGTGGGTCACTTAACCCATCCATGCCTCACGTTCCCTGCTGTCCACGGGGGATAGCGAGAATGCCCATGTCCTGGAACCCTAGTGAGGGCTGGATGAGGACAGAGTGCGCCTACAGCGCTAGCACAGCCCCCAGCCAGACAAAGAGCCCACGCTGATCCAGCACTCAGTCCTCGGGACGCTCTGTGCTGAAGACCTGGCTGGAGTTATTTCATTGTCACTATGACCCTCTGGGGTCGATACCCTCACTGGCTCTATTTTGCAGGGAACGGAGCCGAGGCAGAGAGGGGTGGTCACCTGCCTGTCCCAGAGCTGTTGAAGGTGGCACCAGGACTCAGAGCCAGGTCTGTCCCCAGGAAGAGAGACCCGCCCCCGCCTCGATGGCTGCTGGGGGCTGCAGGGGAGAGAAGGGGCATCCCAGGAGACTCCAGCCCCCCCCGCCCCACCCCTTACTGGGACACCGTGTCCTGCTTTCCTCCTTCTCCTTGGAGGCCAGCCTCCCAGGGGACCGAAAGCTCTGAGGAAACTTTTCCTCCTCCTCCCTTGAAGTGACCGGGGAGGGACGTGACTCAGCTGCCCACCCTCCCCTGCTCCATTTCCAGAAGGCGGAGGCCACAGTCCCAGCCAGGAGGAACGGGCCCCAACACGTGCCTCCTGTGAGGCCCGACCGTGGGTCCCCAAAGGAGCCAGCAGCCGTGCCCTCAGCTGGGAGACGGTTCCGGCAAAGGCTCTTGGCTGGTGAATGGACAGGAACACCTTAGGGCACCTCCATTTCTGGGATTCCGACAGTTCCTGGGACAAGGGGGTGCGCCCAGGGCATCCTCAACCACAGAACCCCCCCCCCCAGACGCAGAGTCCCCACCCGCTGCAAGAGGGCCGGAGTAAGGCCGGCCGGTCTTCTCCCTGAGCCATTATCAGACCCATTTCACAGGGACAGCAAGTGTCTTGCCCAAGGTCACTCAGCAAAGAATGTCCATGCAGAGGTGCTACCTGACTTCCCAGGCCGCTGCCCTGTGGGCTCTGCATCCTGCCCTCCTGACCACCTGCTGGGTCGGAGTCAATTCTCAGTCATAACCACATCCCTCACACAGCTGGTATGGGCCTGGATGCATGCCCTCTGCCTGTGGGGCTCCAGTCCCCAAAGAGAGCATGCCCACATGCCAGACGCAGGGCCAGGGCCGGGGACACGTGGAAGTCTCTCTCAACCAACTCCTGCCCCAGGGCTCCCTGCGTGTGGACAGAGCAGTGCCCCGCCCCCCAGGACAACGCCCACCGCCAGAGCAGGGGCCCTCACACCGCCCTCCAGAGTCGAGGGCCAAGGGCCGAGCAGGGCCAGGCAGGAGGACCCGGACCCCTCCCTTAATGAGGGCCCCTTCCTTCCCTGTGAAAGGGGAGGGATAGTAACAGGAGAACACCAACCCTCCCAGGCCAGGGAGAAGTCGCAAGACGGGGGGACCAGCGTCCTGCACATGGCAGGAGTTCCAGTAACGTGCACACCTTCCCAGCCCTGAGCTTCCTTCCCCTCCAAGGGGGGCCCAAGGCGCTCCCAGCCCTGGGCCTGGTGCATGATTGGTGTTCGAGACCCTTGCTAACCTGGGCATCCTCAGAGCCGCAGGCCTGGGGGCCAAAGAGCCCACGGCCAGTTGGAACAGCTCCTTCGTTTGAGGAAAGCAAAGCCCCGGAAGTGAAGGTCGCCTCCCAGGCCACGCAGCCGTTGGGGGAGGGGGGCGGTGCCCCAGGCTGGGGTTCAGTGGTCCTAGTGGGCAGTGGGCTCAGAGCTGCCGGCTCTTGTAATACTCATGTCCTAATATGACAACACCAATGCATTTGTTTTAGCCATAAATCACTCATTGGTTGAGATGTGAAAGCCAGACGGGCCTCACCACTGTCTTTCCCTGGCCCCACAGGCAGCTGCCCCAGTGCTCCCTGGACTCCTCCTAGCGTCAGAGCCCCTGAAGGGCTGCCTCCTCCCAGGAGCCCACCCAGATTTCTTCTGCCTAGACCTTGGCCCAGCCCCACTCTCTGAATCAGGAGACCCTTGGAACATAAAATGGGCTCACGGCATGCCCATTGAAAACCCTCCCAGGGCAGGTGTGAGAACCCAAGTCCCCAGGACCTGGCTGCCTTCCTCACACCACTCCCCACAGCCTCCCTGTTCCAGACACAGTGGCCCGCCATCCAGGCCTTGACGCCCCCAGCTTGGTTCTACCGGTGGGCTGTCTCCTCAGATTTCAGGGGCAGCCCGCCTAGAGTCTCCCTCCCCGTCCACTACCGTCCCCCGCTTTATTTTCCTCCCAAGCTGGCCGCTCTCTCTCGGAGGCATCGCGTGTACCGAGCCTGCACTCTGAGGCAGGTCAGCTCTGAGGGCGGGGGCGATGTCTGTCCAGCGTGTGCACAGCCCAGGTCCTGCACACCGCGGGTGTGCGGTGAGCGTCTGCAGAATGAGAACGAACAGACACAGGATGGAGAGACCAGGTGGTTGCAGGCGGCTCTCAGCCGAAGCCTTGCCCCCTCCACCAGGCAGGTGGCCAGGGTCTGGGGCTTACTCTGCCTCTCAATCCCACCCCTTAGAAGGGAGAGACCTGTGCCTGGCTGGTCTGGGATATGCATTTCTGGTTGGAGGCACAAAGCCCTGGCTGGAAGCCAAGGCATAGGGTTGCTCTCCGCTGGGACCAGGGGGAGGGAGAGGCCTGGACCACTCGGCCGGGAGCAGCAGAGCAGAGAAAACCCCAGGCCCAGGAGTCCTGCCCTCAGCCCAGTCCCTTCTCTCAGTGCCATTTTCCCCAAGACGTAATAATAACAACAACAATGATGGCAGTAACCACGGCTGCCGCTGACCTTGCCTGTGGCCTGTGCCAGGGTCTGGGTCAGACGCCCATCTGCACGACCTGTTCTGGAGGATGTGGTTATCACCCCCATAGGTGGGTGGATAGACGCCGCTCCAGTAGGCAGGTGAAGACATGACACCACATAGGTCAGAGGAAGGGTTGGAAGGGAGTTCCCCGGGCAGGACATGAGCTGCCCGTCCCAGAAGTGTGCAGACCAAGGGCCAGGCCCTTTGCCAGGGGTGCTGTGGAGAGCTGATGCTGCTGGAGAGGTCGGGGAAGCGACTGCCCTGTGCCCTCGTGGCCACCCGCCCCTCCCCGTCCCCAGGCGCCCGCAGGCCCCAGGCTGAGCCTGCCGCATTGATCTGAGAAGAGCGGAAATTCAGGAACGGATGACAGCCTGGGGAACAGGACACTGAGTCCCTCCCACCCGTCAGTCAGGAAGCAGGCATTGATCGGCCACGCCCAGAGCTGGCGGCTGACTGATGCCCTCCTGCATAGGCTCTGGTGCTGGCCCGGCCGCCCTCTCCCCTCCTCC